TTAAAAAATTTAAATATTAAAAAAATTAGTAAAAATCTTCGCAGGCAAATTTGCCTGCATTACAATTTAAGGGATAGATGTTTTTCAAGCCCAATCTTTCTAATTAGATAATTAATTTAATACTAGACATTTTTTAATTTATTTGTAAATTTCTGAAAAATACTAAATAGCTACATTATATTTACAACTTATGCAAGGCAAAGTTTTTTTTAATCCGATTGTGGCAAAGCTATCTATCATTAATAAATTTCTTAATTAAGTTCAAGTTGATTTAATTTCAATGACTAGCCTTCAAGATGGTGATTTAATTATATCTATTGCACTTACTGTGGCGGTTCTGTCCGACCACCTATCATAGTAATTCAAGATTGTCGAGATAAGCTGATTCCTTTCTAATATACTATTTATATGTTGCAACAGAAATAACTTTATGTTTGTTCAAGCGTTTTACTTATTGTGTGTATATGTGGATACTAATGTTTTGATTAGGAACTGTTAAGTGAAAAACAAATTGACTTTTACATATTTTATTTATTTTTATTCTTTTTTGAAGTAGATAAGCGAAGCTCTCTTTTTCTTTAATTCTTTATTTCCTTATATATATAATTTAACTTTTAAATTAATTATATCATATACTATCTCTTTTTTTTTTTTTTTTTTAGTATTAAAGGTAACCTCTTTGTCAATGGTGATTTATTATCATTAAGTTTTATTTTGGTATACAATAAGAGTACATATAGCTACACGTGCACCTTTTAAGTAGTGTTCAAAGACAAGCCGGCTTATCACGGCTTGCTGCGGCTTAATGCGGCTCATCATGTGATAAATTCGAATTTATCACAAGCCATGTGATAATCGCGAAAATATCACGTGACAAATTCGAAGATATCACATGACTTGGTAATAAATTCGAATTTATAATGTGATAAGCCGGCTTATCTTTGAACACTACTTTTAAGTGCCTAATTTAAGTAGTCCACCCGAAGGTTCTACACTATCTGCCATATCTGCACCCCAACTAGGGGGTACCCATTTAAACCCTCTGATCATATCTTTACTTTCACTGTGTAGAACTTAAGATCTAGGTGTAATCTCACCATGTGCTACTAGGGTGTCATGAATCTATGCGATACCACTAGATTAACAGCCAAACTTAGAACGGGACTGTATGTTCTGATTTATCTTCGAGGTAAACCCGCCAGAGTAATACATTCTCATATATGTATTCACCTAGACTTCAGTAATTTACACTATGCCTTAATTTATGTACTTGGGGTCAGAGCGTAACCATTGAACCTCTACCATTACCTATTCTACCCTTTTAAGGTTTACAAACTCCTGTACTATATTTCATCACTTTTCACACCTTACTCCTTTTGGTATCATCATTCTCCCAATCCAGATGGCCCGGAAGAATTGGTCTGCCCAGACCCGAGTTTCCCAGGCTCAAGTCTGAAGGTCTCTCAATTCTTGGTCCACAATTTTATAATATGTGGCCTTTTCCTCTGGATGACCTGGTGGCCTGGTTGGTAGATCTCTTTTGCCCATAAGATCTTTGTCACACAACTTCTCCAATTTTTGGGGTCTAGTCGGATCTGTCCTGTAGTATTAGGTAACACCTGGTCAGAACAGTCTGCTACTTCCTTAATTGGGATTTGCCAAGCTGGTTTTGGTTTTCTCAGGCTACTATAAGTAGGTCTTAATAAGATCGATCACAGATGCCTTATCATAGGTTTGCATCGCCTATACCGATTTGCATTCCTTTGTGCAATAACACAAATGCATCTATGTCTCCCAGCGCCAACTCAGAACGTTGGTGTGCCCTAGTTTACAGATAATATGAATCTAGCCCAATTTAGAATAAGCCGTTATTATAGCACAAGTAAATTATTTGAAATGTTGTCAGTAGGATTCGAACTCAGTACTATAGTCAACAAACTTGGGGGTGCGACAACTCCACCACTATGCTACATTGCCACACCCCATATACTATTTCTGATAATTTAATCGGTTATAATTACTTAATAAATTGATCATATAACATTTGACTTTGTACATATTACATATTCTTTATGCATTGTAACTAATCCTTAGTTGATTATTAGTAATAGTATGAGTGCCCCGATCGATCCCAGATTACCAAGTACTCATGACCGATTATTAACACATGTGACCCCGAAAGCATAGTTTGAATATAAATTTTCTTTTAATAATTTTTTATTTTTATTTTTTCAATCCTTCTTCTATTGTTACCCTCTCACCACATACTGTGGAACCCGACTTTCGCTGGAGAACTAATCTATATTACCACAGGAGCTAGATCCCGCTTGACTTACGTCCCGAAGTCAACACTATTCACAATTGGTTCGGCACTTATTCTCTCCACTCTTTTCTTAACTTTATTCCTAGTAAATAATTCACTCAACTTACTTCGGTCTACTTTACTAGATTTTTGATTTTTTAAAAATATTGTTACAATAAAGTTAATATAAATATAGTTAAAATATTGTTTTTTTTTTTTTAGGTATTAAGGTGACCTCTCTGGCCGGGAACTTTTTATTAAGTAGCTATAATATTATACAATTACAATGAGGATATATCAAACCACACGTGCACCTTTTGAGTGCCTAATTTAAGTAGTCCGCCCAAAGGTTTTACACTATCTGCCATATCTGCACCCCAACTAGGGGGGTAACCGTTTAAACCCTCTGGTCCTAATTGTCAGTTATTTCTAACCTAACCAAGGTGTAACTCACTATTTGGTTGTAATTTTTGCGATACCTGTAGATTTCGCACCTATCTTAGGACTTATTAACTATCTAAAGCTAGTCTATTTACGAGGTAAACCTAACAGAGTAGTCCATGTTCCACACATGTATTCACCTGCATGTTCGGTAACTTCTTATCTAACTAGTGCTGCCACCGAGTTCGTATTTCAAGCCAACTTTTGGAGTGCTGCCGTAACCCAATCTGTATCTCAAGTACAACCTTTCTAATTAGTTGGCTATTACATACTTACGGCCCTTGTAAGGTTTCTAACAACCCCAGTACTCGCATTTGGAACTGTCTCCTTACCCGGATTCTCTATTGGTCCCTTCCTTACTTTCAGCTGGCAACCCGGATAGGTCGGTTTGCCCAGGCTTTAGATGCTTGAAGAACCCTCCCCTTGGTCCATACTTTTGGAGCGAATGTCCTTTTCCTCCAGTGTGACAACCTGGCGATTCGGCTGGTGTGTCCTCCACCATTTAGGACCTGATCGCTTGGTTCTCCGATCTCAGGCCTCAAAATGAATTTAGCTCTCCTGTAGTACCGTCAAAGATCATTGTACATCTAACTCGGGACTTGCCAAATGGGTTTTCGGTTATTCCGATTCCTTGGATTTATTGTGCCAAAGCTCCCATTACTAGATGGTATAACCGAGATTACAGATTAAGATCCAACTGATAATTGACAACCGTTAACCGTATACAGATCTATTTTTCAAAATCGTCGTCTGTGAGATTTGAACTCTAGACCTGCCGCTTGGAAAGGTGACAACTAACCAACTACACTAAGTCACCACACCTTTAATGGTATACCATTATTCTGTAATTTTATAACGTACAGTATATACAATAATAAACTTATTTAATTTAGATATGATTCAAAAGGATAACTCATGTTCTCATATGTCCAATAGACAAAATGAACAAACTTTAAATAGTTCATCAGCCAGAAATAATTTGTCGAAAAGGTTTTACAGCCAATAGTTGTTGATATCTAATGACACAGCATTTTCTTCAGACAAAAGCCCAAATGAATATGCTGGTTTGATTAGTGGTGGTAGCAATGGTATACTATTATTTTGTAATTTTATAACATACAGTACATAGAATAATAAACTTATTTAATTTAGATATGATTCAAAAGGATAATTTATGTTCTCATATGTCCAAAAAACAAAATAAATAAACTTTAAATAGTTCATCTTCAGCCAGAAATAATTCGTCGGAAGGTTTTTATAGCCAACAATTGTTAGACATATCATCTTCAGGTAGAAGCCCATCACCGAAAATACTCATGATCGACAATCCCCAAGTAGAGGCCATTCATCTAAAAGTATTAATGACCGATGATCATCAATTTCAAAGTCGACCAATATCGCATCACCTTCCTTAATTAGAAAGAGTTTTTTTGAAGAGTATTACGATCAGCAACCATCAATGTTAACCATGATTAATACCTCACCTTTAATTGGCTCATTTAAGAATGATCTTGATCTTTGTCTGTATCTAGTAAAGCACCAACAACTTGTTGAATTAGCATTGAATATGATAACAGCAAGTGGTTGCAAGAAATCCATTACTCAGAGAAAGAAGGCCAAGGCGGCTAATAAATTTGATGCACTTTCTGAAAAGGTAGATATTACATACAATTATGTTTTAATATTGATAATTCAATATTTAATTTTTTATTTAATAGAATTTTGGCATTTTTCAAATGCATTTGAAATGCCTTTTCTTTCACACAAGAGTCATCAATAAACAAGTTATCAATGCACTATTAAAATCTTTGTTCCTGAATATTCAAAATAGTGTATCAGATTGTGCAGCATTACAAAGATAGGCTTTTTTATGCTTTCGTGATTACAATGCTTCATTAAGACAAGAACTTAGAAATCTTGTTTCAGAATTCATCAGGAAAAACAAGTACATTACAAATAATGCTATTTATTTGCAAAAAAAAAAAAAACATAAATTAATAAAATAAAATAAAAATAAAAAAACTAACATAATTTTAGATTAACCAAGGCAAATCAGCCAACGACATGGCAAATTGCCAATTATATCAATGAAGATAACTGGACAAATTTCATGAAATGTCATATGGATATGATAGATGTACAAAAAACATTTGAAGAACAGTGTGTAAATATTAACATGTTTACCGATTTTATACAGTCAGCTTTTAACCTCTTTGTCCAAGAAGAACTTTTGGACCAAGAAGTTGTCAATGATGTTAAAGACCTGAATTATAAGATGGTTGATATGGAAGTTTTCACCGCGGATAGAGAGGAGGCTTTACAACAAATAAACATTAGGTCGCTTCTTAAGATAGAATAGCACATATGTTATTAATTTAATTATAATATGTTAACAATAATCATGTTACTATTTTAATTTAACAATTGCTTTTTCTTATTATTGCAAGATCTACATAATGCAAAGATATTGAACCTTATTAGGTCAAGAATAATTCTGAACATTAAATACATTAATTAAAACACAATAAAATAGCAAATATGTAGGAAATAATTTGTAGAAATTTGCATGTACATTTACGCTCAAAAATTGAGTTTCTTACATTTACAAAAGCAAAAATTTTAACTTGTCACTGCACATTTATATTTATACTGTATTTAATTTAACTCGTATTGTAATCACATGTAACTAATTATTGTAAAATGTCATATTAAAAATTCAAATAATGTGATTTACAAAGTTAATAAAATTAGATTCAGGTCAATTAATAATCAAACTTCACTTTAAGAAAATGAATATAAAGGTAGACCCATTAAATTTTTTACATTTCTTTTTTCTGCCTTTTCCCTGAATACTGCTATTCAAAAATTATAGGTATAAAAAAAACAGACCTTCACAAACTTCTTTACAGTTTTTTTCAACTTTCCTTAAATACTATCACTTAGAATTTATTAATTAAGTATTTTAAGCAGTATCATAGTTTTTTTTTAACTTTCTTTAAATACTATCACTTAGAATTTATTAATTAAGTATTTTAAGTGGTGTTCTTATTATTAACTCTTTTATTATTGAGTTCGTTAAAAATGAGAAGAATATGAATTAATAAAACAACCAAAAAAGCCATGATACTAAAATGCGTAAATAAGAATTTACAAGAAGAATATTTGTGACCGCATGCATATACTGTACAAGATAGTGAAATTCAAGTTCACAAGATCCATCATGCAAAACTCTGTTTATTAATGATGATTTCGATTACAGTTTCTCTACAGCTCCAGATGCATTGGATAGCATTTCAGACATGATGAGCAACAATAACCAACTTATTAATAACAATTTCAAAAGTAGCTCTTTTACAACTTCGAATGCACTAAGTAGTGCTTTGGACACGATAAGTAGCAGTGATCAATCAATAGTTACGAGTGAAATTGAATTACAAGAGTCAGAAACTGAATGCACACAATCTATAGCAGACAGTGGAATTAATTTTTAGCCATTATCTAGAGAGTACGGTCCATACTTTAAAAATTTTACAGAGATGTTGCTTTTTATATGAGTTACTAGCACATGATAAGTAAGTATTTTTTTTTTTTTTTTTTTTTTTTTTTTGGTAACACGTACTGAAGGTGGGCCAGGCTTGTCAAGGCCCAACATTGAGCCACCTGACACCTTTTAATCAGACAATAGGCCGGCTTTCCCAGCAG